CACACACACACACACGCACACACACACACACACACACACACACACACACACACACACACACACACACACACACACACACACACACACACACACACACACACACACACACACATTCCAAAGTTGGCTCGCTTGCCAAACAATCAAACATAAACACACCCGCACGTCACACTCGGTCTCACTAACATGCATACACAGAGTCTAGATAAACAAGGCAGGCACACAGACCCTCACTCAACCATCCTACCCCTGCCTGTTGTTTTCTGGGGATAACAGAAATGAACGCTCTGCTTCCCCCAGACGCACACACCAACAGATGCAAAAACACACACACATGGATACACAAACAGGACCCCTGATGGGAGTAAATGGAGGGGAAGTATTGGTGGAGGCCAGGGGAACCCGGTTTGTCATGGGATGTTAGTGTGAGCTGGTGCGTGTGCATGCATGTGTTGTGTGTGCGTGTGCATGTGTGTATGCAGAGGTAGGGGCAACACGCTTCATTACACTCATTTAACTCACAAACGGGGTGAATGACAGGCTGGCGTGGGAGATGGGAGGAGTGGGTGAAGAGGGGAGTGTAAGGGCAACGTCGTGACCCCCCCTTTTACAAACACTGAAATCCTGCAATTAAGACTCAAACAGCAACTGCCAAATTCATCTCCCCCATCACACACATAGACCCCCATCAGTCCAAGCCAACTTTAAAGCCCACCTCACATTTAACTCTTCAAACCCACTGCCCACTATTTGCTAAGCCAAAGCTATGAGGAACCCCACAACGTCCACCCTCCCCCCCCTTTTCCCACATTCCCCTTCAGCTCAACCCCCTGGCCTCACCTTCCCGCCAGTCAACCCACTATGACTGCTAAAAAGTATTCTGAGCTAGCCCCCACCCAAAAAGATACCACCAACAGCTCCTCTCTGCCTCACTTTTAACCAAGGCATCATCGCCAAGGCGGAGTAAGAAGTTCATGTTTTTGTAACTTTTTCTCGCAATCCAATACCTTCACAGCTCGAGTCTGAATAGCTTGCCATGGTGCTTGATTCATCAAAGGCTGAGGACAGCTTTTCAATAAACACATCTCATCAGTTAGCCCACTGATTAATATCCTCTGTACTCTGCTCGTTCACCAAGAAAAACATCAGTTCTATCAATCAATCAGTTTTATTTTCCAGACCCTTAGTCCATAAAAAGAGAAACTATCTGCATCCTTGGAGTTTCATTTTCCAACCAACCCTTTCATTGGTCCTGTATTCAGTATAGGCCCATGACCTTGAGATTGGTTTAGTGAATGAGGAATTTAAATAACTGAATTTCCTTTTAAATGTCAGCCATATGCCTACGATGTAAAGTCAATGTTAGTTAAGTACCACACAAGTGCAATATTTACGTTTTAGTAGGGATTTTGAATGTTTCAGGTTAAATCAGGCCAACTAAACTACAACTCTAAATGTTGGCTTAACAAACCGCAAACGACAAATCTACTCATTGTGTCTTTAAGTAAAGAGTAAGTAAAAAGGTATACACACTGTAGGTGGAAGGCCTGGCAGTCCACGTACCCCGATGACAGCATTGAGCTCTGCCATGGTCACTTGTTTGGCTCGCTCCACAGCTTGGACCACCTGCTGTTGATGCTAGAGAAAACATACAATGTTCATGAAGACCAAATGTAAAAGGTTGTATATCAAAAAATCTAGTAGAAACAACGTGTGTATAAATAGCATTAAAAAAACAGTCTGTGGCTCAAAGTCACACGTACTTACCTCCTGTGAGAGGAAGGGAATGACTTGTGCACAGATGGTGTTTAGTCTCTTGGCAATCTCAGTCTGATGTCGGGAGAGACACACGGAAACAAATAGAGACTTAATTGTTAATAACATAATTACATTAATTGGGAAAGACAGCTGTTCACTAACACCAATAAAGTCATACAAGCACACACGCTGGAGACTGCCACACACACATCAAGCCAACACAAAAACACACACACACGATTTTCCCTCTAATCATCAGTGGGAGCTCAAGTTTCTCTTGCCTGTTGTTTTTATTTTCTCTCTCTCTATCCTCTGTGCTCGTGTGCCTCTTCCCATCAGCACTTCGACATAATCTCATCAGCGACTAACTTAATTTGCTCTCCCCCAGTATCCATGCCAACACATCCGCCTGCCCCCCAACCCCCCGGAGGTGGCAACAATTGTCTGAAACCAGATACCCCCACAGTGGCATCAAATCAGATAAGGGGAGTCATATTACACATCACCCAATCAAATTGATACGAAGGAGGCCAGGGTGAAGAGGGAATTGGAGAAGCTATGAAATGTAGTAATGGCTCTTCGGACACACACACACACATCTCACATCAATAGATACATTGACACACTCGCTGGATGAGAAAGCTACAGGGGTTTGTTGCCATCATGTAAAATCATATGAAAATAACGTCTCAAAGTCATCATAAAGATATTTGGAATCCCACAGCAAACATCAGACCCAACCGTTACTTCACCTGGTTTAGAAATAACTGACTACTATGGCAAGTTTCCCCCTTTTACAGTAATGATTTAAAGAACTTCCTCTTTCAAAGTAACTTCCGATGAATACACTGTTCCAGTTCCCTACTTGCTTAACTAGGTCTCAATTTTCAAAGTGTTACTAATATCATGTCAATTTTCTTCTTGCCTTCCTGCCATCCCTTTGTCATGAAAAGGTCATTAAGGCCATTTTCTGATGAATGATGGGTTCAATCATTTCTGAAAATCTAACATTGTGGTGACGCCCTCTTTTTCAGTAGCATAATTACTTTCATTGGAGCTCCTCACTCATACATACACACACACACACATTAATCAGCTCACCAAACAACTGACCCCGCCACAGTTCAGCCAATTATGTACTTGGAAGAGCTAAATAAAGTACTAGCCAAATCAGATTATTAGTATCTAAATAAACAAGTAACTGCTTCAACCTGAACCTATGGTAACCAAAAAAGGATATCATAATAATGTAACAGGTTGGTTAAAAATGTTGCCAAGTAAAACTGGGTAAAGCAAGAAGAAAAAATACTCTTCTTGTTATGAAGACTAAACACGATAAATGTCTTTGTCCAGAATCAAAGAGAATAGGAGATGAAATAGAACATGTCTAGAAATGAATTGATCATCTGAAAAATTAAAAGACTCATTCACACATCTGGGTTAAAACACTAGGACTTGTACTATCCGCACAATGTAAAGAGATATCTATGAATAACTGCACACTTGTTCGAGAGTGCTACGTTTCTATACTCATAACCCCACAACAGGGTGCTGGTGACAAGAGTCAGTTCTGATCTTAGCATTTGGTTGTTTTGGCCAACTAGTCTGTGCACCATCAATGTGATGCTGCCTGACATAGTTCTCAGTGCAAATCTCTACGTAGTGCTGTCTTTGTAAGTCTATGTACCCGTTACTACAGAAGGAGTGTACCTTCAGCCCAGTAGAAACCTACTAACTAACTCAAGTCGTGTTGAATACATTATGTGAAATGTTACCACAAACATGTCACTTGATATAGACGGCAGAAAGTCAGAAGCTGTCCTTTAAAGTCTGGTGATAAAATAAAAAAGGACAAAACTACGTTGCACCAAGGAAATTAAGTTTCTCTCAACATAATTAAGTACGGGATAATCCACTCCTTATAATTAATTCCCAAGCTTTTATCAGCGGTTTGTAGCATAATGTGTTTCCGTAAAAAGTGTGTGAGAGGGCCACAAAGATGAATGCACTCGGAGCAAATAAGTTGTTGGCAAATGTTGCATAGAACAAAAGATATTGCTCAAGTTATGATATGTTCAGTGTCTCATATACACACACTTCTGAATAGATTCGGGCGCCTCTGATAATCAGATGGAGGCGTCTGCTTGAGGCATGGATTGTGAGTGTACCCCGTCCTAGTGCTTTTAATGTGTGGAGACTAGGGATGTTAAGATTCACATCGGTGCACCGGCTTCAACGTTCAAAATGCGAGTGCACCGGTTGAGAGAGTGCACATCGGCTACAGTTTGCGTTGAACTCGCGATGCATCGATTGTAGCGTCTTTGCATCGGTAAAAAAAAGATTCATTCATATATCCTCTCATCCTCTATGCACTCAGCAGAGACGATCTTTGCTTCGCCACTACGGAGGACGAGTCTCAGTTATCAACAAACATGGAGGTCGAGGAGAAAGAGAAACACAGCGCACCCAAAAATACCTACAAATCAAACGTTTGGCAACACTTCGGATTTTTCAAGAAAGACTTGAAAAATCACTCGCAAATTGTAAACCATGCCGTGCCGCTTTGAAGTACACAAGTATTACGAGGAACTTAGCGACGCACATAAAGAGGCGACATGGGGTCTGCGTCTGAAAAGAAAAACCTGAAAGTTAGACATATGAGTGAAATCACTCAGTGAGGTGTTCTGTCAGAGAGTGGCGTTTAGTTTACAGCAGCCTGTGACTGCCAATAATCGTTTAAATGTCTTCCTTACTGTAAGCAGTTATGAAATACCTGTTTGTGAAAGGTTATTTGTATTCTTTATTGTTCATATAGATACCACTGTTTTCTGCTCACTGGTGAGTTAGCCTATGAATGAGTGTTAAGCACATCAGGCTGGCAGCTGTATGGGCATTGCACTATGGTAGTTGTTATTTGCACATTGTTAATCATGGGCAATGCATCCTTAAATTGTTTTACTGTGAGGTGTTATACAATTGTATTGTACTCTGGAGAGTTTTTTAAGGTAAAAAGAGGTAAAAAAAGAAACAGCATGATGGGATGCGCAGTACTAGTAGAGAGAGCCAAATATGTAAAGCACTTTTTTGTTAATGTATGATTTGCTGCATATAAGGAATAAAACAAAAATCCTCTGTCGTACTATATTGAAGTATCATTATTTTGCATCGTGTTGAATGGTATCGCCCCGAATCGCATAATGTTGAATCAAATCGTTTTGAACTGTATCGCAACAGGGGTGAATTGTATCGTACATCGCCTGGTGCTTCAAATGTATCGTAGCGTTGGCAACGTATCGAGATGCACATGCATCGGCCTCAGTGATGGAGATGCACATCCCTAGTGGAGACGCAGGACGCATACCTATCAACTTCACTGTGACTCAATCACATAATATCCAACTTATTAGATGCCTACAAAGCTCTTACTAAGGAGCTATTTCAGGCAGACTATAGGCGCATTTCACACCAAGTACTTTTCCCAGGAATAGTTCCCGGAACTTTTATTCCCTGGAACTATCTACGTAGTAAACCGCGTTCACACCGGAATAAGTCCCAGAGGGAGCCGCTGACATCAGTTCTTCTTCTGCTTTGGGTTTACTGGCAGGCCGCAAACAACTTCACGGCGTATACTGCCACCCGAAGTCCCCGGCCGGAAGTCCCCGGAGTTGGGGACTGGCTTCAGTAGAAGCTGCTGGGAGTCTTCCCAGCTGTTTCTAGCGCCAACACCTCCTCATCACTCCCATGTTTTCTTTTGTTTTGCCATAAGTTGTCTCTCTCCGTTGGTGCGCGGGGCTAATGCTAATAATGCTGATGCGAGCAAATAAAATGGCAGCTTCACAAAAGGGGGGTGAAAAGGTTTGGAAAAAAAAGTTCTGGGAAAAGGACTCCGGTGTGAAAGCGCCTTATACCTGCAAGTCCATTCTCAGAATCCTAGGTTGTAAGCCTATAATTAGCCTTGTATAATGGCTCACCGATTAGGTCGTCTGAGAATAGTCTGACCAACTAGCCGACCAGCTCGGCTAATCTAACTAAGCTAACTGACAAAACTAACAAGGATCAAACAAATAAGGCCGTAAATACCCAAAGCAATCACCAAGTGATCATGAAAAGTCACAACAAAACTCTCCACCCCTAACACACTTCTCTTATCAGTAGCTGAATTAAAATATTGGAGAAATGCTATATTGCACAATCCACACATATAGTTGACAGAGTGGGTAAACATTGAAGTTTCAGAGAGAAGATGCGTGTGCAGTGCACACACACCATGTGACGAGAAAAGGGTTGCCATTACACATATAATTGGAGCATGACTGCCACACACACACCTCGTCAGCAGGAGGTGGGTTGCTCTGTATCCTCCGTACCCCCCAACCCACAGAAGCTTGTTGCTCTGACAACTGCAGCCCCAAGCTAATGACCTCCCCTGGAGCTTTAGTGTGTGTGTGTGTGTGTGTGTGTGTGTGTGTGTGTGTGTGTGTGTGTGTGTGTGTGTGTGTGTGTGTTCCCTCACAATGAAAGAACAGTAGCTTCACATGGACATAAAACCAAAAAGGAGCCAAGAAAAAAAGAAAGAATCAAGGGTGGGGGTGTAGTACAATGAAGAGGAGACAAGTAAGGCAAAAAGAAAGGGAGAGAACTTGGGTTATAAAGATGGGAGAGAAACACAAGATTAGATAGAGCACATGAGGGGAAAACTAATGGGCGGGGGGGGGGGGGAGTGTGAGAAAGTCAGAGAAGCATCCCCACTCCTCTGTGAAGCAACCAGGCCAATCCACCTCTAATTTCCTCTGGTCGGACTGGTCGATAGCTGTGGTAATTACTGGTAAACGCTCTGAGCTCTGCACCTCTCCTGTGGGGAAATGTGTGTCTGTGTGCATGAGGAGGAGGGTGAGAGATTTTGCACATCATCCATTTGTCTAGACACTTAATCGTGAAAGATGTTTGCCTTTCAATGAGGCTGTGTATGTATGTGCTCATGCATAAACATGTTTGATTTCCTGTGTTTGTGTGTACAGGACTGGATGTGTCAAATTGCCACGGTCCTCACGTGCTTGCAGTTGCACACATTACTTTTGGATGAACATTAATGTCCTTGCCTTAGATTACAACAGGTAAGGGTCCTTCTTGTATTTTGTGTTTGCACACTTGTGCATCTGCCCTACTAAAGTTTGTGTTGGTGTGTTTTAGCTCCACTGTCTCTCCTCTGCCGGCTTCACCATGATCGATTCCTCTGCCCTCCCCAGCCCTGCCCCTCTAATGTAATAAAGCAGGCCGCTCCCCTAGACAGCACCAATCAATCTACAGAGCCATTCATCCTGCCTCGGGGCCCAGCCGGCCGGCCCTAACTGGGGAAATGGAGACAGAGCCCCATCGATCAAGAATAAACACACATCCACACACACACCCGGGCATACAGTAAAACACACACCCACACACAAACGAATGAACGCAAAAAATGCATTTGTGCACACACAAGGACACGTCAACAGGCACAAACACCAAATACATCAAAACCCTGCCATCAGAGAGAAAGAGGGAGGGAAGGAGAGAGAGAAGAAAGACAAACAGGAAGAATCAGAGAGTAGACAAGAGGCAGACAGATAAGCATCCATACCTGTTTGTGCATTTCAATGTTGAGGCCATAAGACATCTCATAGTACTGGGGAGGAAAGAGAGTCAAGTTAGTGAAAGGAACTCTGAACCTTTCAAATTAAAAGCCTAAGCAACTGAGACAATGTGTGCGTCCTTGGAACCACAAAGGCACGCTGATCTTCTCATTGTCAAAGAGCAATCAAAATGCTTTTTAAAAAGGACCCTGCATCTGAATTAAATGAGTTTAGAAAAGCAAAGTAGATAGAAATGTTGGCAAACTGCTGTCTTATATACTTTTTGTTTGTTTCTGTGTCAGACAGCAAAGGCTTTTACCCCACACTAAGCCTTATTTGTTTCAGGTTAAATGGCTGTCAAAGTAAACTGTTATTTTACATAACACAGAAGGGACACGTTCAGATATTTATCTTTTCAGCCTAGTGAATTGTTACATTTGCTGAAATATTGGAGCTTAATTTAATGAAGATAAAAAATCTCCCTAATAAATTGCAAAGTTGTACAACAGTCTAATCATGCACTCTAAAAGTCCTTTTTAAACATTCTTGTTGGTGTGTGTTTTTCTTTCGTAATATGCATGTTCCATTTGTTCAGACAATTATACAATATTATCTAGGTAATAGGTTTAAAGTTAGGAAGTTATGAAAGTCCAAAATTAGTTTCTTGGGACACAGTAACCCCCTCAAAGAAGAATTATCTCACCATGACATAGTGTCTCTGCATCTCCGTCTTCTCACTGGCCAGCTTCTCACACTCCATCTTGAGACTGAAACAACAACAACAGAACTTTTTAAGTAAAGCCAATTGTATCCAATTCAACAGAGGCCCGCAAGCGTAAACCAGCACCTCACTTTCCCAAATTGAGAATGTATATACAATATAGATACATGTATAATTATCAGCCTTTGTGGGTGGTTATTTAGTTGTTCAATTTAGATGTTTCTGTACAAACAAGCTTTATTGCTAATAAATGAATATCAGCACGTATAATTTTTTCTGAAACATTTACTCAAAAGAAGAACAAACAGTAAGGAATGTGAATCTTTCAACTGATAACTAGCAATGTTAAAGCATACAACTTTGAATACAGTTGATCAGATTCATTTTCTCACTGAAAAAAGAACTCACAAATGCAAAAAAGGGCACGGGGTAGGAAGTGAAACGGAGAAGGTGGTTCTTCCTGTCTTGTTATGAAAAGTAGTAGTATCTGTTGGCTGTAGGATGTTTGGTTGAACAATGATCTGTGTATGTGTAAATCAGGATGTGAAAAAAGCGCCTGTTTATAGGTCAATAGCATACAACTGTTGCGGCCAACCCCAACACGATAACACAGAAACATTTAAAAGTAGTACACACACATCAAGCAGAGGAAAACTGCACCCATGCTCAGGCAGTCTTTTCCTTACACACATAGAGGAAAATAAGGAGTGATTTATGAAACGCTGAGCCCACACGCCACCCTCTGGCTCTCTCCCATCACCAAGACTTAGACCTACCGCAGTGTAAGCGCTAACACTGATGCCTGGGTCTGCTGCATGTGTGTGCACTTTTGTGTGTAATCCAGGTTTATGGGTTAGTATGAGGCCAAAGCTGGGGTTTTGTTCATTATGGTAAGGGAGGTGACTGTGGTTAGGGTGAGGTTTAATGCTATAGAGAAGACGAGAACAAAAAAAGCCATAATGTGTGTTGACCATAAAGACAGAGTAGCCTTAACTGTGAATGTGTGTTTGTTCTACCCACCTGTGGTACTGTGCCTGAAGAAACTGGAACTCCTCCTTGATGCGGTCCAGTGATTCTGGTATGGTGAACTTGAAGGGCTGGCCTGGAGCCTGGTGGGGCGTCTGACAAACACACGCACAATTATTATTATTATTATTATTATCATATTGCATCATTATGTGGCCTATAATGTTCATTTGATCCTCTCCAGGCTCACATGTAGTGTCAAAGTCAACAGCTTTTAATGATAGCAGTTATTAAACAAACACTACTATCAATCCCATGCTGCTTCAAGGGGCAGATACACAGCCCAATTAACAAGAATAAAGAGCCTGATGTAAGCATGTGCTTAGCCCGTAGGCAGTTAAAAGTAAGACAACAAAGAGGTAATGATATCTCCCTGGCTGTGCACAGCCGGTTACAGCCAGGTGAACAACTGTGAAAGCAGGAAGGGTCTTACCGGGTGTCGCCCCTGGGGAAACATCGTTATCTCCTGGAGGATGCAACGGTTTCCTTCTTTAAACCCCGCTTCTTCGAGGGATCAAATTAGGGCAGTGAGGATATGGGGGGCTCCGGATCAAGGAGACGAATCCATCCGCCGCTATTATCGGGACCAAGTGTCGTTAATTTCAAACAAAACCGACAGCCCCCACCGCTCCCTGCGAGTTCACGGAGCGTTTAATGTGAATCCCTGCTCCTCGCTGTGTTTCGGTCGCTGTTTCTCCTCCGCTCCACCGGCAGTGTGGTCGTAAATCAACCGGAAAAACACGGGAAACGGCTCATTAGCTGGAGGCAGCTAAAGGGAGGGGGAGGAGGGAATGAACCAGGTGAGAAATGATAGGGCTGGAGCCACCCCAGTCACTCCTTCAGCGTTTGTTGTGTGTAGGATCCGGGGTATTCCGAGTACAGCGAGACAAATAAACAAATAAGCATAAAGTCAAGCCAGTAGCCCCTCCACAGACAGCCGCAAACTCCCGGCTCTCCTGCAGAGCATCAGAAACAAATCCTCACAAGTTAATTGCAGTGAAGAGTTCCCACTTGACTCGCGGCGGTCGCTCGTTGGCGGTTGAACAGTCAACAAAAACAGAAATATTCACTTCCCCACTCAGTTTAGATGCGTCCAAAATAGGTTTCACAAAAAAGAGGAAGATGTAGTTAGTTTTAATAACAACTACTCTCACAGCGGCGGCAGCAGTCCACCGTCTAGCTCTGCTTTACCTCAATGGCAACTTTCTCACGCGGTTTCACGCTCCCCAGCTAACCGAAACTGTAGACCCGCCCACAAAACGGATCTGGACCAATCAGAGACGCCGCTCCACGTGGGGATAGTGATGTAGATTACAGAACTGACCAATAGTCGCTCTGTAAAGTGCCCCGAGTCTGTTGACCTGGTTGAGCAACGCATATGCTGACCAATCAGGACGTAGCAAGGAGCTGCCGTTCCGGAGGCGCGCAGGGCGGGCAGTGTGGTGTGTGAAGGCAAGTCTCACCTGTCAATCAAAGTAACGTGGGCTCAGGAGGAGCGGGATTGAAGATGTGCTCGTGCATGTACACGTGCCCACACACATGCACGCCGATACACAATCGAATCATTCCCTCACAGACACACACACACACACACACACACACACACACACACACACACACACACACACACACGCACGCACACGCACGCACACAACACACACACCCACACATAAACACACACACACAATACTTTATGTCTTTAGTAGCTGCTGTGAACCTTCCTAACAAGTGTCAAGGAAAATCAACTCACAGTTCTCTCTCTTTTCCTCTTCTTTCTGTCTTCGTAATACTACAGCCTATAGTGTGCAAATTAATGTCGTAGTGCTCACTTTGTTTTACATCTTTCTAAGAAAATAAATGTATTCATGCTGCTCATTTGTTGCTGGATAAATGTTTTAGCCATTAAGTGCAGTTTTCACCTATTCAGTCTGTAGGGTGATAGCTCACAGGGATAAACCCATAACCCAATATTTTCATAGTAAATTGGGAGGTCCTGGTATAAGTTGATGTCACTTAATAAATTAATGCTATATTTGTCTAATTGAGAATTAAATTTAAAGCAAAAGAAAAACAATTTGCCAGGGGAAATCCTTACTTGCAGTTATAATGTTATGGTAAATAATGGCATGTTGGCATCCAAGAACATCACATGTGTGCATGAATATAATGGCACTAAGCCAATGTCAACACACAGAAGGTTTTTCAAGCTGTGGGCTCTTCTTCAGGCGGCATCAAGACGCTTGTGTTGATGTCTGTCTAGAAAGTATAACTAATAAGGAAGTGACATCAAAATTACCAGCCAAGCCGATGTAAATACCAACAATTATTGGGGATTCGACACATTAAACACATATCCAGGGATAGCGTTTTACTGTATTACAATTATTGCAATAATAATGAAAGTAAGTTTGCCGATATCACAAGAGAGCAGAGTTAACCATAAGCCAGATGGTAGTTCATTATACATAAACTCTATACACAGAACTGTTGAGTCAAGTCCAATTCATTTATATGTCCTATTATCACAAATTATTAGATTGACTTAGGGTGCTGTAACACTATGGCCCCTCTTCCCTTGCAGATATCCCCCCCAAAAAAACACCTTTAACAATGTATGAAACCTCAAGAAGTGCTCCTCTTATCACGTCTAAGTACCGCTCGCTCACTTCACATGTGAAAACCCCTCAGTCCCGCGCTGACCTGTGATTGGCTTAGAGAGCTCAACCCCGACCCCTGGCCTCTGACCTCTAACCTCTGCATCGGCTGATCCAGTCCATATGAGAGACTCTTGACTGTGACCAGCCATAACCTTTTTCCCAGCTCTCACGAACAGACACACACACACACACACACACACACACACACACACACACACACACACACACACACATAAACATACAAAAACACAGGTGTTATTCGGTGGGTGGTACTGTTAATCACATCTCGTACAAGTGTGTGTGTGTGTGTGTGTGTGTGTGTGTGTGTGTGTGTGTGTGTGTGTGTGTGTGTGTGTGTGTGTGTGTGTGTGTGTGTGTGTGTGTTTGATCTCATGTTGTCCTTGTTTGTTCACTCTTATCTTTACCATCCCCCTCTGTTACCATTCCTCCTTAATCATTCAGAACTAATCACATTGTCTTGTCACACAGCCTATACTGGACATAATCTGACATAGTTCCTGAATGTGTACCTTTTATAAATTAAACAGAATAACAAGCACAGCCTTCACTCATTTTGGGAGCATGTCATTGTATGTTCACCTTTTTCTGTTATAAATATGATTCTCATATGATGGTAATGAGACAAAGAATATGTTTTTGAGTAGATATACACTACCAGTCAAAAGTTTTTTATTTATTTGAATTGTTTCTACATTGTAGATTTATACTGAAGACATCAAAACTATAAAAGAACACATATTGAATTATCTAGTAACAAAAAAGTGTTAAAAAATCCAGAATATGATTTATATTTTGCTGGCTACTGCTGAATGCTGTGGTAGCCATGCTGGTTATTCACAATTCAAACAACAACACACAGCAATTATTTCAACATCCCTCGTTTGGCACGTTGTTACTTCAGTTAAAGATAATATGTAATCGCCCATTCACACATTCTTAGGTATGTTTGTATTTATGGTGGATTTCAATGAAAGTAAGAACCTTTGGCTAAAGACTCCACAGGCCAAACGTTTGAGAAATTGTCAGACTTATATGCATTTTTCACATTTCCATATCCTAAACGTGGAAAAAGGAGACAGTCCATGGAGAACAGTCCCTGGACCAACAGTCTGCAAAGTAATCTGCGTCATGGATATGTTCATAATTTTCTTAGTCTTTTCTCTGCATGTGATGTACAGTATCCTTAATTATCCCAAATACTGCAATATCCTGTGCTGCGCCAAATGATTAATTCTTGGGTTTCCTTTTCGCTCATCTTGTCATGGTTCCAAATACATTTTCTAACCACAGTAGTTGCAGATGCATTTGTAAAATCTTTAAATTGATGTTCTTGTTCCGGCTTAAACAGAAGCTAAATAACTTCTCCACCATGGAGTGTAAATGAAAACAGAAGCAGAACCTGAGACAATGCCTTTGTTACAACTAAAACGAGGTAATCATTAACAATTTTAATGCAATGCTTTTCAGTTCTCTAAACAATGCTCTGGCACAGTGAACAACAATAAAGACTGTCTCCTCCTCACCACCACAGGGGAGCGTCAGCAGCGCAGTTTCACATCTGGGCACTAGTTTAGTTAATCTTATTTATATCATCTGCATCCACCTGTAACATCTGTTCCTCACCATCAGTCCTCTACTCACCTCCAAACGGCCCGTCAACACAAGACATTCTGAGACTCTTCACTAACTGCACCATTTACTTGTAAGAGAAAGTTAAACTGCACAGATACATAGACAATATGAAAAGTGCTCAAATGTTTTGCTATTAAAAAGTGAAAAGGTATAGAAATGTAGGTTTTGGCATATTACCTTGATCAGTGTGCTCAATGGGAAGGTTGGTTTTCCTATTCAAGAGTTGTGGAGGGTTTATTATTTCTTACCAAGTAATAAAACCAACTTCGTACTGCATAAAGGACCTTCATTCAACGAGTAGCGACATTCTAATTCACACTAATACAAAACGTAACATTTATGGCTGAAATTAGTAAGATAATGAAGGCCTTCAGGTATATAACATGTGTGTCACCGTCCACACTGTCTGGCAACACACCTCAAATCTGATCGGACAGATACAATGTTCTTAGTGATACTTTTTGTTCTGCTTTAGTGATCAGACAGCAACAGTCACCACGCAAATAGGTAATTGTACATGAGCTCAGTGGCCTCCTGATTTCCTTAACAAATAGCCCATCCCCTCATTCACTTCAAAAGTCTTTCTCTCCCCAAGTCATTTGTTTAGAGTGGAGAAGCACACAATTAGCCTCTGCTTTGGATGGGGCACAAGAACCTGCCATATATAAGCCTCATTTGGTTTGCAAATGTCCCATTTATTTCCGATTTTAGTGGCTAAAACAAATAGCTACGCTTTGTTTATAAAAGAGGAGGGGGAGAGTGGTGGAGCAGGGGAGAGAGAGGAGTGACATGAGGGAGAAGTGGCTATTTTAGCTGTGCCCCGGTCATCTTGCCTGTAGAGGAGAGAAGAGGCTCTCACAGATAATGACTGAACAAGCAGCTTTGTGTGGGACGACAAATGGAGTGATTCCACTCTCTCGTCCCACTTACCACAAGAAGAGCGTTCATGTATGTGTGTGTCTGTGTGTATGCATGTGTTACAGAAAGAGAGCGAGAGAGAGAGAGAGAGAGAGAGAGAGAGAGAGAGAGAGAGAGAGCTAATATGCAAACATGTGTTTTGTTGGGCTTTGTGCTATTTAAATGTGTGTGCAAGCGCATTTGGTTAGTTTGGTTAGAGAGAGTGTGTGTGTGTGTGTGTGTGTGTGTGTGTGTTTT